GAGGGTGTTCGACCGTTATAAGGATTGGTAGATAAAGCTGAAAAAAATATGTAACTTTTTAATCATGTAGTTATTGTAATGTCAAATAATACTAAATGTATAATAATAATAATAATAATAATAATAATAATTATGCATACCCGTTTGATATATTGGATAGGGGAGTCATATAATTGATATTTGAAGGAGATTGGAACTTTGAGCAATGATATTGAGAAATTTTATCAGAGTTGGTGTTTAAATGTTGATGATGACCGAAGACATTAGCTACATATAATTTGAAATATAGTTAATAATGAAAAAAAATCATTAATATTAATTAATTATATAGATATGAAATGTTTATATTATTTAACAAACAACATAGTAATTATACAAAAAAATTAACATACGAAATAATTACCGTTCTGGATAATGTTAAAAGGATGTGAGGTAGATGAAGTACGACCGTCTGATATGGTAGACAATATTTTTTTAAATCGTCTATTATCCAAATATAATTTCCTTAATTTTCGTCGTTCTTTAGCTGAAGTGGAATCCATGGTATATATTCTATCATCTATATGAAAATAATAAATAATTATTATTTAATATACAAATTGTCTATTAAATAAAAAGTTATGTATAATGTTACAATTATAAAAAAAAAATGTTATAAAACAAATATAAAATATGACTAATAGTTTAGAAGTATTTGAAAAAAGGTTATGATCGTATTTTACCCTTATGATTTTGAATCAATGAAAAAATGGATTTGAAAATGCAAGGTCATTCAATGGTCATCATCAATTGGTGCCAACTATAAGTTTCCATGAAAATCAACCGGGAACCAAAATAAAATATATAACTTATTTTCAAAGAACAAATAAAGAAATTGGTAAATTAGTTACCTTTTAACTAGTGAATTAAAAATAATACTAATTGAAGTATTAAAGGATTTAATAAATAAACTAATAATCTTAATATTAATAAAAAACAAACCGATTATAAAAGTTTAATAAAACATAATCACATTACAATCAAATAAATCTATTTTGGTTTCATATCTATACATATTAATAATTTGCATATGACACTTTGTAGTAAATTTTTAATAGAATTAATAATAATAAGAAAACTAAAACATAATTTAAAAAATATTAGTTACAGTGGATTTGTGCTTATTGGAAATTGGCCACAAAACTTTTTGGATTTGGCTCGTACGTTTCTTCGACTTTAAAGCCTTATACCACCTGTTTTAAGCATTTAACTTTAATATAAAAAACATAATAATGAAATACCGTTTCTAACTTCCTTTAAAATGCATAAAATCAGAAAATAAAGCAAAAAAATATTGTACCTCAAGCTTTAAAAGTTGTACATCATAAATATTAAGTCTCGAAAAAAAACTATCCCTATTCAACGTAAACCCCACCTACATTCCTAATACTTTGCTAAACCTAATAAAACTGAATCCAACCAAGTTTTATTTAATTCCTAAAAAAAAGAGATAAAACAAATACAAAACAAACAATAAAAGGGTTTATGTCATTTTTGGTCACTTAACTTTTGGTTTTTTGTTCATTTGGTCACTTAACTCTTTTTAAGTTTTAAAAGGTCATCAAACTTTTGGCTTTCTGCTCATTTAGTCAACTAACTTTTGGTTTGGTCACACTTAGTCACCTAACTTTTAAAATTGTGCTCATTTAGTCACTAATTTTTTTTTTAAAGTTCAGTGAGTACATTAGCATAATTTTAAAAGTTAAGTGACTAAATGAGCACAAAGTCAAAAATTTGATGACCTTTTAAAACTTAAAAATAGTTAAGTGACCAAATGAGCACAAAAACAAAAGTTAAGTGACCAAAAATGACCTAAACCCTAATATTTATATATTATATATTCGTATATTAATGTTCTGTCTTCTTTATCACATAAAATCTACCGACAAGCACTTGTCTTTAAATTGCAGAAGTCTATACAGTAAAGTAGGTAAAGAAAGCGTACCAACGACGAGTCGTGCAGCAGTGGCGGACGAGATTTGGAGAGTCCTAGAGGGTAGTGATGTCGTATGAGTCTACCGGTGGAGCTTGTTCATCGTAGGCTGACAGACGGATGCAAAAAGTGTAGCCGATTGTAAGAGGTATTTCACTCGGTTTGTAACATCCCAACCGTCAGGTATCATTATTATTCCATTTAGATTTCATGTTTTAAGGTCTACTCAACGAGTTGACGCTGTGACTCGTCGAGTAGCAGCGGGTCAGGACACGTCAATTAATGAGTGACTCGGCGGGTCGGCATGGGGGACTCGACGAGTAGGTACTGGTAGTGAAAACCCTAAATTTCAGGGTTTTTGCACCCTATATATTGGACCATTAGCGCCTCCCACTGTCCCCTATCACCCCTTGAGAGCCAGAAACCATAATTTCCGTGAGTGTGAGCTTGGAGAGTGTTTTGGAGCTTTGAGAAGTGATTTTTGTGAATGAAACTTGTAGATCAAGAGGCTAGCATCAAGGATTTCGTGTGGATCCAGAGTCTACTTCAGCTTGGGAACGCTTTGGAGGTAACAAGCTGTAACCTTGACCTCTTTTCTTCTAGAATCATTCTTATGTGAAGACTAGGGTTTTTCTTTAGCTATTCATGAAGGGATTATGATATGGGAGCTAGATCTGAAGTTGAAACTTCAGATCTGAACCTCTTTTGAGTCCTAAGTCCATAAAGTTCTTAATAGGGTCATAAAGGAACCCTTGTGTATGAGTAAAGTCCCATTCAAAGCTTAGATTGGTCATTTAGAGCCTTTATGGCCTTGCATGCGTGTAAAGTTTGCAACTTTACGTGAGAAACATGCCTTGGAAGCTTGGATCTGTAATCTGGAACCTTGGCATGGCTTAAAAAGGGTCTGCATGGATGAAGGTCTAAAAGGACTCGGCGAGTTGCATAGTCAACTCGGCGAGCCACATGAAGATGGCCAAGTACTCGACGAGTTGGATGAACAACTCGGCGAGTCCGTTGAAGATTGCCTTGAACTCGGCGAGTCGGTTAGGGTTTCTCCCAATTCATTGACACGTATGAACTCGACGAGTTAAAGGGGAACTCGACGAGCCAATCAAGGATTTCACTACTTCTCGAGTTCAGGAAGGACTCGACGATTCGGTGAACTACACTCGACGAGTCGAGTCAACATGGACTGTTGACTTTGACTGAGGACTTTGACTTTGACCAAGAGCTGACCAGTTAACTTCTGAGAGTATTTTGGTAATTTGGGAATTTGTGAAAAAAGGGCTTTGTGGCAACTATAGGTGGTGGAGTTCGTGTTGGTGATCCGAGGGTTGAGCTTTCTAGTTTCATTCGACAGTTGCGAGGTGAGTTATCCTCACTATATCAACGGGGTCTACGACACCAAGTCCGACCCCTTTTGATTTACATCCTGGGTTAGGATGGTCGTTATGATATTGCTATGTTAGATTACATCCTGGCATAGGATGATTGCTATGTTGCTGCTATGCTAGATTTCATCCTGGTTTAGGATGGTTGCTATGTTAGATTCATCCTGGTTTAGGATGGTTGCTATGCTAGAGATCGGTTAGATCGGTATCCTGGTTATAGGATGGTTGCCATGTTAGTGGTCTGTTAGATCTGCATGTTTACTTATTTATATGTATGTACACATGTTTGTTGATTTGGGGAAAGGGTTGAGGCAGGTCCTGCTGTGTGCAGTAGGCCAAGACACCCTGGGCGGACCGGGTAGACTGCAGGCCCGGGACGGGCAAATCTAGTTAGGCCGAAAGCCCAACAAGCGGTCCGGATAGGCTGAAGGCCCCGAGGAGGGCGGTCCAGACGTGCCGAGGGCTCGGAGAGCGGTCCAGATAGACTGAGGACTGGGAGTCGGTCCAGTCATACTGATGGCTCATTATGCATGCTGTATCTGTTTGCTTATGTGTTACGATTATGACTGTATGGCGTTGGTATTTTGGGGTTAACTCACCAAGCCTTCGAGCTTACATTTATCGATTATTGTTTCAGGTACTTCTGATGATCGCGGGAAGGCAAAGACGTGATTGTACCGCTCCTCACATTTTATGTTTTTATGATTTGATTCTGGGATACTCTGACAATATACTATTTAAAAAAACAAGTTGTAATAATCATGTGGTTTGAAACGTTTTAAAAAGTTTTAAATTAGCTCAAAATTTTATGGGTGTTACACGGTTAGTCAGCGAGAGGCTGACAACTGAAGAAGAGGGTGAAAACAGAGAGACGAGATTGAGAATGGAGAGGGATTAGAGCTTCATCAACGTATTTCAGCAAAAGGTTTTAGCTATTTTGGATCTAGGGTTTTAACTTTCTTTGAATACTTGTCGATTTTTATTTCAAATTCAGTCCTCATATGATGGATTTTTCGTAAAAGTGAAGGCAAAGGGAAGATTTCAAGTCAGACGTGATTGATTTTTAAGTAAAAAAGATAAGTAATTGATTTCTATATATATTGTTTGCTAATTTGAAGCCTGAAAATGGGGATTGATTGAAACAAATTGATATGAAATGATACTTCAAATAAAAATCATTTTCGTTTGTTTAAGAATATAGATTCCATGCTTATTACACTTTTGTTTTTTGTATAATTCAATCTTTTGAACTACCTTTGCCAATTTTCTATAATCTCTATATCTCTATAAGTTTGTGTGGTGTCAATCAGGCGAAGCGTACACTGAAGAATCTGAGGGTGAAAACCAGCCCTACCAATACTGAGTACAAGATCACGGGTTTGAGTGAGAAGCCTAGCAATCAGCAACTGTATGTTTTCTTTTTTATGTTATATGTTTTGGTATGATGGAATCATAGAAGGAATGGAATGGGTGATTCCATAGGAATGAAAAAAATAACCCTTCTGTTTTCCTCAATGGAGTGGAGTTGACCATTCCTGAACCAATGTGATCCTTTCCATTTATGCTATTTTAATGACATTGTTTTTTTTAAGCAAAGAAAAAAAATATGGTTTTTAATTTTTATTACAGTTACATAAATGGAAAGGTTTTCGCTGAGGCAAAAGTCAAAAGATGAGAATGGTGAATTTGAGACTTTGGAAGTTACTGTTTATGACTATTTTGTGAATTATCGCAAAATCGAATTGCAGTATTCTGGTGAACTCCTATGTGTGAATGTCGGGAAGCCTAAAAGGCCAACTTTCTTCCCCCTTGAGGTACAACACTGGGGTTTATCTCTATGTGGGCCCACACTTGTCATTTTCTAATGGTTGTTCTTGCTATGTGTGGTGATTTGTTGTAGCTGTGTTCATTGGTCTCTCTGTAACGCTATACAAAAGCACTCACACACAATGCAAAGATCCTCTTTGGTATAGATATCCAGACAAAAGCCTCAAGAAAGAATGAGGGTTTTAAGCGATGTACGTACACTTCTTAAACTTCAAGTGGTTTTTATTTATTACTTTTAATAACATGATTCTGAATTTTTGCTTTGTGTATTTTCAGGCACTATCACTCAATAAGTATGATGAGGAACCTTTGTTGAAATCATGTGTGATTTCAATAAACAACAACTTCACACAAGTGGAAAGCCGTGGTCTTGCGGCCCCAAAGGTATTTTCTTTTGGATTTGATGGATTGTAATTTTAATATTTTAATTTTGGTATTGTTGTTACCATGATACAATTGAAAGTGGGTAATGGAGAAGATTTCTTCTCGAGAAATGGTCGCTGGAATTCTAACAACAAAGTATTTTCTTCTATTCTTTTCAACTGTTGTATCAATCTTTTACTTAAAACCGACATTATTTCTGATTTTTTTTTATATGATGATATAGAAACTTGTGGACCCCACGAAAATCGAACGATGGGTTGTTGTGAACTTATCTGCTCGCTGCAACATTCCCAGTCTGGTGAAAGATTTAATTAAACGTGGAGGGCTGAAAGGAATCGTATGTTCTCATTATTTTTTTTAAATCTTTTTGTTGACATAAGAATGTATTCGAGTAACTAACTTGGTGTTGAATCCAATGTGTAGAAAATTGATGAGCCTTTTGATGCGTTTGAGGAGAGCCCACAAAACAGGAGGGCCCCACCTCTTGTTAGAGTAAAGAAAATGTTTGAAATGATAACGTCGAAGCTTCATGGTGCCTTACAGTTTCTACTCTGTTTGTTACCTGAAAGAAAGAACTCTGATTTTTATGGTGATTCATCTACTTTAATCTTTTATTTTTTATTTTTGGAAATTTAATCTATATGTTGATGAAATGTGTTTCTGCAATTTTGGTTGGTAGGTCCTTCGAAGAAGAAGAATCTGGCTGATTTTGGTATTGTGATACAATGCATAGCTCCTATGAGAGTCAATGATCAGTACCTCACAAATGTCCTGCTGAAGATCAATGCTAAGGTGAATACACTTGAAAAAAAAACAGGTCAAATGCTAGAATATCAATTGCTTTGTGTATTATAGCACTGAATTATCTTACCTCTTATAAAGATGCAATCAAATTTCAATTCAGTTTTCACTACTATATTTATTCTCCTATTGACAAATGTCATAATATTAGAAACCATCGTTAGTATTATATGTCACCTATCATGCCACATGTCAACCTATTAATTCTCCATTTTAAATTTTAAAATTTAAATTTACAACTCTAATTACGTTAAATTAATAATTGATTATTCACTTCAAATTTCATACTTTAACTACATTTAATTAATTACATTAAAATAAAAAATAAAATAAAATTAATATATATATATATATATATATATATATATATATTATATTATATTATACGGTGATATAAGTTCGTTTATTTATTTAAATCAACGATTATAGTTTTATATAACTAAAAAAATAGCTTTTAATTAATAATTAATTTGAAATAATTGATTAATAATTTTAAGTTTTTACTATGAAAGTTTAATTAATTTTATAAGTGTTTATAAATTACTTATATATATTTTGAACTTTTCCTTTTTAACTAATTACTTCTTTTAGCTGATGCGATTAAGTTTGAGATAATAATCAATTTGAAATAATTTCAAAAAGCACCGGTGGTCTACTGCTAGAATAGTATTCTGGCACGGTACAGAACCCGAGTTCGATTCCTGGCTGGTGCATACTTTTTATAATTTCAGTTTTTTAACCTTCACATCTCTCACCCCTGAAGTTTCCCAAGTTGCTGGATTCCTATTAAACTTTCCTGATCTTTTATATAAAGTAAATAGTAATTTCATTTATTTCAATTACATCGAAGGCACCAAATTATTATTTTTTTCTTTGGTAAACGAAATTCAAATTTATATAATTGAATCAACTTTACTTTTTTTTTTTCCTAATTTGAAAATAATAGTTTTTAAGTTATTATATGCCCCAATCCTCGTAGCATTAATTACTGCTTATAATACTATTGTAGTTTATAAGTTTTATAGTTTTGTCTTGTGAAAAAAATAACTAGCCCATCGTTATCCGGTGTTGTCCTCCCTCATTGAGATCGAGGGTTCAAGTCCCACTGTGGACATATGTGGAATAATTTAGGAGTAGTTTAGTATATTATTGTATTTGCAGTTCCAAAAAATAAAATAAAATAATAAAAACTAAAAAATGATGTACTAGACCAAGCCGACTTACAAAGACATGTGAATCCCGACCACAATGTACAATATAGATAACCGTCCGTGACTGATCTTTTAAAGGGTCCCAAAACTTTAATGGCCTATATATTAGTATTAGTTTAATTCAATTGTTTTTTTAGAAAAAAACTCACTTGTGAACCGATGTGGAGCCTAAAACAGGCACCGAAAACATATAATGAAGACGTGAGTGAGATAATCATTGGATCGACGCATCATGAATCCAAACTCGGAAAAGGAGGACAGAAGCTATACAAAATGATGGATTTCACTAAATATTCAATGTCTAAGGCTCTAAGCTCATGCTCCACGGGCTAGAGACAAAGATTTTTGTTTAAAATTGTCGAATCAGGATGTCTATTTTAGTCGGTATGTTTTTAGGATCTTTGTTGATTTTACTAATTACTTTTGGAGTTCTCGTTAACAAGTTATTTAAGAATTAGGTTTAATTTTTGTTTGTTTTACGTCAACAAGAATTATTTCTTACTTTTGGTAATTGGATTGTGTACTAATATAAAAAACATCTTTGTTTTTTTTGTGTCTTCAAGGGAGGGAAAATAACTAAAAAAGAAGAACGATATAACTCAACAATCTTAAGGTGTTTTTTTGTGTCTTCATTGCTTACTACTTATATTTGTTGACAACTTGACATAGTTGGTGGATTCTGTGATTTTTTTTTCTTTAAGAGACTTTTTTTTGGTCTTTAACTTAAAATATGTTTGGATCACCCTTAAAAACCCTCTACGAATTTCTCAAAAGGTTTAGAGGAGTGAACTAAGTGTAGTAACCACGTCTTATTATGACTATATATGTTCTTCATATTACCTCTAGGTTTGGATCGTTTTTACTTCTATCTTATAATAATTCATGGAAGGATAAAATGTGCAATTGAGGCGAGTTTATACTATTAGTACATATCCCTAACCTTATTTTGATTGAAATAGTTTCTTATATTATTGGATTATATAATGTGTTCACTATATATAACTCGTGTATTCATGAAACAGTTTAGAAATTCTTTTACCAACTTTAGGAAAGCTAATTTGATATGTGCATCCTACTTGTGGAATCACATAGGATGTAAGATTGTAAGAGTCATTCATCATATCCAATAGGATTTGACTATTGGTTGTAAGTGATTAGATCTTTATATTATCATCGTTATTGCTGTGTCACCTTGTTTGAAATGAGCATGTAAAGTGTATTGAATAAATAAGTCTATCGTGTATGGGCTGAATTTAACCACCACCATTGAGAGCTTTAGATTTTAAGATTGACTTTTGATTGGGAATAGAAGCATATTATTTGATTTTGTTGAACTATTCCTTATTTGAAATATTGAACTCTTGAAATTTGTGAGTTATTGCTAACTTTTTGTTTAGCAACCTAGCATCTAGTACTCTCTCCCGTAGTTTCATCATGACTAAATAGCTTCATAAATATGTAGTTCCCATAACTTTTGGGCATCCCCTTTGTTCTTATATATTGGGATCATTGTACTTTATCTACTCTGAAATTATGGAACCGGATGTAAGAAATATTTCAAGATAACAAATATGTGTAGGTGTTTTTAGAAAAAAATATATAGTTGAGGTTTAATCCGAAAAATGAAAAAATGTAATGGTTAAATCGACAAAAAAAAAATGAAAATGCAAGGGATGCATCGTAAAATTAAAATTGGAAAGGTTAAATTTGAAAAAGAAAAAAATATAAGGATTTAAAAAAAATTGAAATTTAATTCATATAACACTAAGGTCTTTCTTATCGTTAACATTTTGAATTATGGTGATTAATAGTGATGCACAAACCATTTTTTTTTCCAAACCGGTTCAGTTCAAGTCAATATAGTCAACACCGGTTCATGGTTAAACCGGTTCTTCAATAAAAATATCCGAATTCTATAAACCGGTCCAGTGTTAAGATCTTTAAATCTGGAGGTAAAGTTGATATCTTTCTGGTTTCTGATTCATCATACTTACCTTTTTAGAACAGATACGTCCCTTTCCAAACAGTAGAAGATCTGTACTATAATTTAATTGGGTCCTGTTAATCCCCTCCCCCTATGAAACCTATATCACGCGCTTTTCTTTTTTGCTTTTAAATCAATCGCCCCTTTTATTTTAATTTTTTTCTTTTACATCCAAAATCTATATTTTACATTTATGGTCCCTTTACTTTTGGAGTTTTTTAATTTATTTATAATTATTAACAATATTTTCATTATTCTTTTATAACGCATTTAAGTATTTTAATTTTTGATACCAAACAATAACTTAAATTTTATTTAGCCCTATTAATTTAAAAGAATAACATATCATTTCATATAACTTTTACAAGTAACAGAGTTGAAAGCCAGCATGCCAAGCTGAAACTGTACTTGGATACACCACAATCTGATTTATGAAAATGTTCATCTGTTGTTCATAATATCGTTAAGTCACAGGTGACGGCTATCAAAGCAAGCTTTGAGTATAGCAAAGGTCGCATCAACCATCGGGTAAACATGAAAATGTTCGAACTATTGTGGAATTATATTTCATTGGAAGCATTAGACATGATCGCTAATGAATTCGAACGGTGTAAAAGCGGTGATGTTAGTTGTGGTTGTTAACTGTGTACATGTTACGGGTTACCATGTGGTTGTCATCTGCGTACATGTTACGGCTAAATATGTATAATCATTATTATCGTTCTAGTTTTAACGTCTAAATATGTATAATAATTATTATCATTCTAGTTTTAATTGTTTTTTATTGGTGGAATTGGAATTTAACCCAAGTTCATGGGTGGAATTTAACCCATTCGATAAAGTAAGGGGATAATAAAGGAATTGGGTTAAGTTGATGGACCATATTTATAATATATATATATATATATTATATATATATAAAAAACGTCAAATCTCATAGGGGAGTGGATAAAAAAAGGGAGGGGGGGGGGGTGATTACGTGTCCCCTTGCTAGTGTTTCTCGTTCATGTGTGCTGTAATTTTGCTCCGTTTGGGAAAATGTTCCCGATATATACTTGCATAGTTTTTGCTCGTATTTATTTGTTTTTAATACTTCAGATGATACATCTGTATCAATGTATGCTTTTGGTGATATTTTCATATCACTGTATACTTTATCATTGTTTACTTCATATGGTATTTTCATACCAGTGTGTGCTTTATCATTGTATACTTTTGATGAGTTAGATATGAGGTTTCCCTCACTATCTAATCTCAATAATATTTTTCCCCGTATAATTGCTTTTAGGCATCCTGCCCAAGTGTCTTGTGATGCATCTGTTTCTACGATTAAGAAATCATCTATTTTTGCATTATATAAAGTAGGGAGAACTTGAATGTTTTGTTTTATATTTTGTACCAAAATAGTATCTGTATTGGTCCAAGACCAAGGTATTTTTTCTGATATTTTCTTTTGTAAAACTTTTCTTTCTTTTGCTAAATTTTTTAAAAATCCTTGTTCTGCAATATAATTTAAACAACCAAGAAATCGTTGTATTTGTTTTCTATTTTCAAGTTTATTAGGAAACATATTTAATTTTTCTCGTATATTGTCTGTTAACGATAATTGACCATTTTCTCCAATTTTTAAACCGAGATATTCAACTGTAGTTTGAAAAAGTTTTGATTCTTTTTTGATAAAACTAAACCCTTTTCTTTAATTCTTTGTAAAACCTTGATGACTGCATCAATGTGTGTTTGTTCGTTTCCTTTTGTAAAAACAATTATATCATCAATATATGCAAGACAAATATGATCTAAACCATTTAAGGTTTCATCCATGAATCGCTGATATATTGCTGGTGCCTGTTTTAAACCGA